GCAGCCAAAACAAGAATCCTGTCTCTAGACAATGCTGTTTGTGCGGTCTATAACGTGCACTGGATGAAGAAAGCACTCAAAGTATTTCTGCAGCGAATGCCGATATATTTATTCCCTCCAAGAGATGGCAAACTAGCTTCTCGTCCCCCCCACTGGCAGGGAAGCTCTGCTCCCAGTGCCCAGAGGAACCCTGCGGGTGTCTGTCAGGAATCGGAGTATTTCATAGGAGCTGGGGGTTTGGTTGTTTTCTTTCCTTGAGATGATTTGTTTCATTTACAACCAAGTCAAATGAGGGTTCCACCGCCATCTATGAGCACAATGTTCTGTTCAAAATGTTACACTGTTACGACCTGAGAGAATTTCCCCCTAGACTGCCAAACACCAACTGTTGAGACATACCGGTCCCGTTCTCTTGGGGAAAGAGATAGTTACGAGAATGGCATTCAAAGCCCAAAAGCAATTATAACACCACTTCTAAGGGTTGGTCATTTTAGCCATTCACAGGCAGTGATGACAATACTCCTAGCAGAATATTCCCCTCTAGAAAGATTCATCAATGCCTTAGACCAGGGGTGGGCAAATACCCGTCTGTGGACCAGATCCAGTCCATCAGGTTGGCTCCTGAAAGGCCCCTACCACCATATTTATCTGCACGGCTGCAGGTAGGGGTGATCACAGCGCCCATTGGCCGTGGATCGCCATTCCCAGCCAATGAGAGCTGCAGGTAGCAGTGTCCCATTCTGCGCCACCTCCTGCTGCTCCCATTGGCCAGGAACAGTGGTCCACAGCCAATGGGAGCTGCGGGTAGCAGTGTCCCATTCTGCGCCACCTCCTGCTGCTCCCATTGGCCAGGAACGGTGGTCCACAGCCAATGGGAGCTGCGATCCCCGGTACCTGCAGATGTGCAGGTAAATATAGTGGTGGCAGCCCGCCCGGAGCTAACCCTGGTGCACAGCTGCCGTGTTCTAGCCCATCCCTGATTTAGACAGGCAAAAATAGTACCTGTGGTCTAATTACACCTCCATTGCTGCCACGGGGGACACTCCCATGAGCTGATGGGCACTGATGTCTCAACCTCACAGAATTAGCCCTAGGAAGGTTGGATTTGCTCATTTTTGGTGTCGATGGAATGATGGTATAAACTATAAGTTCTGCCTGATTCAGGGGATAAACGGCATAAAATAAAACACTTCAGCCATATATCACAACTCCAAATAAGGTAAGTTCAAAGGGGAAGTCATATGAATCTATTTGAGCAAAAGCAAGGCAGAGTCCTGTGGCACCTAAAAGAGTAACAAATTTATTTGGCATGAACTTTCATGCCCTGGAACCGACTTCAGATGCACTCCAGTGGATTATGGCCCATGAAAGCTTATGCCCAAATAGCTTTGTTAGTCTTTTAGGTGCCCCCAGGACTCCTTGTTGCTTTTGCAGGGAGGTACTTGGTCCTGCTGGAGGGGCAGGGGACTGGACTCGATGACCTCTCAACGTCCCTTCCAATTCTATGAGATGGTATATCTCCATATTATTATTATTATTTCCAAGTAAGGTCCCACTGCCAACCAGGCACACTGGGTATTGCTGCGTCCCACGCTGTCCGCTCTTAACTCTGTCATCTCTTTTATGCGCAGGATGATTCACAGGGTAAGTTTGTCCTGCATGTGGGCTCCTTCTGCTCAGCAAGAGTGAAGAACATCTGAACACTGGGTTTTAGCATCCCGGATTAAAGTCATCTGACATTCTGAACGTCTAGGGGCGAGCCCTTGCCAAAGACAAGAAGCGCACGGCTGCCTTGTGTGGGATGAGCGACTTTGAAAAGGGCTGGGCACATGCTGAAGAATTGGCTGAGCGTGGGCGCCGAATGCGACGCGATGGCCAAAAGGGCTAACACGAGTCTGGAAGGTACGAAGAGGGGACCCCAGTAGGGAGTGATATTCCTTTGTATATGGCACTGGTACAACCACTGCTGGAATCCTGCGGCCAGTTTCGTGGGCCACAATTCAAGAAGTGTTGAAAAATATGGGCGAGGGCTCGGAGAAGAGCCACAAGGGTTACAAGGGCTCAGAGAAGAGCCACAAGGGTTACAAGGACCTGCCTTACAGTCGGTGGGGCAAACAGACTGATTTCCAGGCCCCTAGGCAATGCAGGGAGCTGCTCCATGCCCTGGAAGGGGCCGAGTCTCAAGCGGAAGGGGTAGGGTCAGAGCCAGCCTTCCCTAGGCAGCCCTCAACGCCTCCTGAAGCATGCGGTTTAAAACTAATAAAAGAAAGTTCTTCTTCACACAGCGTGTTGTCAACCTGTGGAACTCCTTGCCAGAGGAGGCTGTGAAGGCTAGGACTATAACAGAGTTGAAAGAGAAGCTGGATAAATTCATGGAGGTTAGGTCCATAAAAGGCTATTAGCCAGGGGATAAAATGGTGTCCTTGGCCTCTGTTTGTCAGAGGCTGGAGAGGGATGGCAGGAGACAAATCGCTTGATCATTGTCTTCGGTCCACCCTCTCTGGGGCACCTGGTGCTGGCCACTGTCGGTAGACAGGATACTGGGCTAGATGGACCTTTGGTCTGACCCAGTACGGCCGTTCTTATGTTCTTATGCGGTGCCTTCCCCACGCAGCCCTCAGCACGGCCTGGAGCGCATCGCGCCGGCTCCAGCCATGATTTAAAGGGCCTGGAGCTTGAGTCACTGTGGCAGTCGCAGCAGCAGCAGCGTGGAGCCCTGAGATCTTCTGAATGAATTGCTGGGGTGTGGGGCAGTTGCCCCGTCTCGCCCATCAGCAGGCCTGCTCACAGTGAAAGACTCATGGAGCTCAATCTGTTCCATTCATCAAAGAGAAGGTTACGGCTCAGGCACCAACTTACCCTCGGGGATGGGGAAAAGGGCTCGACCCTTCCTTCCGCCCTAGGTCCTGCCCCCATTCCATCCCTGCCCCCAAGCCTCTGCCCACACCCCGTCCCCAGAGCACACCCCATCCAAGTTCCTCCCATCCCTCACGGAGGGTCTCGAACACGGTGAGAGGCATGCTTGGCAGGAAGGGGAGGAATTGCTCAGTGGGGCCACGGGTGGGGAAGAGGCACTGGGACAAGGGGGGGGGGGAGAAGCTGTTAACTTCTCTCCAGGGGTGCTCCAGCCCCACAGCACCTAAGGAGACTGCCCCTATGGGTTAAGCAGTGACTTGGTCACCGTCTGAGTACCTACATGGGGGACAGAAATCTGACAGCAGGAGGTTCCTCAATCTGGCCTAAAACGCGGTAAGAGCCAATATCTGGGAGTTGAAACGAGACAAATTAGGAGTAGAAATAATGCAATTTTTGAACAGTGATGGTAATAAACCAATGGAACATTTTACCAGGATTCTTCCTCACTGACAGTGGATTCTTCCTCACTGACAATTAAATCAAGCTCTAGTCCAAACAGGCATTAATTCAGGGAAGCCGGATGGTTTGTTTTATAGGAGGTCAAACTAGATGCTCACAATGATCCCTTCTGGCTTTATAATCTATGCATCTGGATCACGTAGGCATTGAGTACCGTCTATGCTAATACAGCCTATCAATGTAGGTTACAGGGTGGGATACACACACAAGGTGGAGCTTTAGTGGCAACACAAAAGCACCATAGATCTCAGGTGTGAACAACTGCAGGAATCGTGATATGATAGCAGCAGAGGCAGTAAGCCTAGCATGGGGGCAGCCACCCAGCAGAGATTCAAATGCTGCCCAGGTGATAAGCAAAGCACCCACAGGCAGCAGCATGTGTTTCTACTGGTGGTGCACATCCTCGTATGCCTTGGTGCATACAACAAAATTTATTCTGCACATAGATGGAAAAAGTTAAGTGGGAACATTGTTTGGCAGGTTTGGGTTTATATTACACTATTCTTTATTTAATTTTACTAAAAATGGGACATGTTAAAGTGGGTTATAATGTATAGTGGCATACAAGCACTATACATTATATATACCAAAACACAGTACAGGGCCACCCAGAGAAGCACTGAACTGTGAACACACTAAACAGGGGATTGTAAGATAAGCAATCCAGGAAAGCACAAATACCACGAGGAACATTTTTCACATGCTGACCCATTCGAAAAATACGATTTTGGAAGTTTTGTTTTCTCTCATTCTGTGAGGAAAGTAAAATGTAAGCCAGAGAAGATGCTTTGTGGGACTGTTGCCAGAAGTTGGTTAGGTTCTGATAGATATTAGATAAACTACAGCCAGCCAAGGCAGAAGTTTTCTAAATCCATAGACAAAAGTTCAAGTGACCAAAATTACTTGTAGGGAACAGCAAACAGGACCAGTACCAAGACAGGACTTAGGATTCAAAGAAAACACCATGTAGGCTAAGTAGCATCACACTTCACTGGTTTCTGCCTTGATAATACTAACCCGACATTCCAACACTGCATGACTCTAGGGCTTGAATTACAAAAAGAGCTTATCTGTGTCTTGATGTGATCCTTGCTGGCTCTAGTTTGCATACAGTCTTTTACAACGTCTCTCATCTCACCAGGAGACTATCCATTACAATCTGAGAGTCACTCACTGTGTGCAACATTAACGTTTCTTTCAATCTCCCTTCTCCACTCCCTCCATTTCCTAACTACATTCTTTTTGGATGTAGCCATCCCACAAACCCTAAAGCTCTGTAGGGTTTACCCGCAAACCATTTAACAGGGGTGGCATTTTTTTCTGGCCTCCTTGATTATTTACAAGCTTTTGTTCTCACAAAGTCCTGTCTGGGAAAGGGCTGGGTGTTTTCCATAGATTTGCTCTGTATGCGGAACTCTTAATTCAGTCCTACTGCTACCTCCACCAAGGTATTTGATCTGAGGAAGTGGGTCTGGCCCACGAAAGCTCATCATCTAATAAACCATCTTGTTAGTCTTTAAAGTGCTACATTGTCCTGCATTTTGCTTCAGCTACCCCAGACTAACAGGGCTACATTTCTATCACTATTCCACCAAGGAATCTCCGTGGTAAAAACGTCTACTCACCCCCATTTCAGAGTTGCTACTAAAAGTACTAGAAGTGAGCTCCAGCCCTTACAGAACAGATGACTCCGACCTCAAGGTCTCCCCTACAGCGTCAGGCCGCCCTGTGTAACCCAGACTTCCTTCCCTGTTCTCAAACCAAACCAAACCACCCAGCCCAGCCCAGACTAAGCGGGCATGAAAAATACCCGCGGCTTCATAAACCTGTTTAAATTGATAAGGGCACGTGCGGCGCTGCAAAAATTAAATATCGATTCCTTTCCACTTTGCTGCTTCCCCAGGCTTCCGCCGCGGTCGCCTTCTGTCAGGATTTCGCTAATGAATGGCTCATTTTGTACATCTGTGTTCAAGGTCTCAACTAGCGCCCGGTCTCAGCCGCTCGCTCTAACTACAGCCAGGCGTTGATGGGCATTCGTCAGAGGAAAACGCTGGGCCGCCAGCCGCCATGAGAAGGGGCCCGGGGCAGTCTCGAACTCGGGAACAGTCACGAGAAAGGCTCCGCAGAGATGGTGCCAGCAACACCTGAGAGAAGCCAGAGGTCAACGGGGCCTGATCCTGCCCCCCAAAGTCAATGGCAAAACTCTTCTCAGGTCCAGTTCCGCCGGGGATTCAGTCCCCTCCCCACATTGCCTCAGGCACTTACTCTAGTCCCTTAGCTCTAGCGGGGTTTGGAAACTGACAGATGCCCACTCGGAGCGAAGCTTCGCCCGCAGGTAGGGAAGGGGCCGCTCCCCACTCTCCAGCCAAAGCCCCAGCAGCCTGCCCTGCCCGGGAGCACTCAGCCCCTGCGCTGCGCGCACCGGAGCCCGGCTCGCCCAGTTCCCAAGGCGCGGGCGGATGCTGCGCTGCGCGCACCGGACCCCGGCTAACCCCGTTCCCAAGGCGAAGGAAGATGCTGCGCTGCGCGCACCGGACCCCGGCTAACCCCGTTCCCAAGGCGAAGGAAGATGCTGCGCTGCGCGCACCAGACCCCGGCTAGCCCCGTTCCCAAGGCGAGGAAGATGCTGCGCTGCGCTCACCAGACCCCGGCTAGCCCCGTTCCCAAGGCGAGGAAGATGCTGCGCTGCGCTCACCAGACCCCGGCTAGCCCCGTTCCCAAGGCGAGGAAGATGCTGCGCTGCGCTCACCAGACCCCGGCTAGCCCCGTTCCCAAGGCGAGGAAGATGCTGCGCTGCGCTCACCAGACCCCGGCTAGCCCCGTTCCCAAGGCGAGGAAGATGCTGCGCTGCGCTCACCAGACCCCGGCTAGCCCCGTTCCCAAGGCGAGGAAGATGCTGCGCTGCGCTCACCAGACCCCGGCTAGCCCCGTTCCCAAGGCGAGGAAGATGCTGCGCTGCGCTCACCAGACCCCGGCTAGCCCCGTTCCCAAGGCGAGGAAGATGCTGCGCTGCGCTCACCAGACCCCGGCTAGCCCCGTTCCCAAGGCGAGGAAGATGCTGCGCTGCGCTCACCAGACCCCGGCTAGCCCCGTTCCCAAGGCGAGGAAGATGCTGCGCTGCGCTCACCAGACCCCGGCTAGCCCCGTTCCCAAGGCGAGGAAGATGCTGCGCTGCGCTCACCAGACCCCGGCTAGCCCCGTTCCCAAGGCGAGGAAGATGCTGCGCTGCGCTCACCAGACCCCGGCTAGCCCCGTTCCCAAGGCGAGGAAGATGCTGCGCTGCGCTCACCAGACCCCGGCTAGCCCCGTTCCCAAGGCGAGGAAGATGCTGCGCTGCGCTCACCAGACCCCGGCTAGCCCCGTTCCCAAGGCGAGGAAGATGCTGCGCTGCGCTCACCAGACCCCGGCTAGCCCCGTTCCCAAGGCGAGGAAGATGCTGCGCTGCGCTCACCAGACCCCGGCTAGCCCCGCTCCCCACACTCTGCCCTGAGTAGCCCTTGGGTGCAGGGCCCCAGAACCAGAGCCCGCCGGGCACCCGGCCTCTACATGGAAGTAATAGGATCACCCCAGCCAAGACCTAACTCCCAGGCAGAAGGGACCCTCATCTGCCAGTTTTCACCCTTTTCTCATTGCTGGACTCCACAGAATTTCACATGGAGGTGCAGACCCCTAGGGGATTCTTAGACAGTCTGTGGACCACCCTCTCCCCTCCTCCACACACACCCAGAGGTCAATGGGCCATAGGTTGAATTCCATGGATGTAGCCTGAGCTCCTGTATCACCCCAGCCAGAGAACTTCCCCAAAACAACTGCTGGAGCAGATCCTTTAGAAAACCAGCCAGTCTTGAAGTAAATGTTGTAGGGGATGGAAAATCCACTGGGTCCAAGGGCTAATTACATTCACTGTTAACTATATAGGCCGTATTTCCTGTCTGAATTTGTCTAGCATCAACTTCCAGCCATATGTAAAAGGCTGTAAACAGGAAAGGCAGAGCTGTCTGGTTCAGTGTTGTGGATAGTGCCTAGCAGCCTAGCACACGGGTGGGCAAATCCCAGCCCAGGGGCCAGATCTGGTCCTCCAGAGTTAGCCCCTGGAGGTCCCCATTGCTAGATTTACCTGCGCCTCCCAGGCATGGGTGATTGGAGCTCCCATTGGCTGTGAATCCCCATTCCTGGCTAATAGCAGCTGTCGGAAGCGGTGTCCCAATCTGCGCCACTTCCAGCAGCTCCCATTAGCCAGGAAAGGCGATCGATCGGCAGCCGACAGGAGCTGCAATAGCTGCACCTGTGGAGGGGCAGGTAAATATGGCAGTCTTCCCTGCCAGGAGCTAACCCTGAGGAACTGCCACTTTACTGCCCATCCTGGCCAAACACAATGGTGCCCTGATGCCCAATGGCGCTCTCAGCTGCTATTCTCATCAAAATAGTAATAAATCAAGGGAGGACTGGAAAGCTTTGGCCCTCGGTGGATAAAGGGTAAGAAACAGCAGCCGGAGCAGGGAAAAACAAAACTGCCCTTGGGAGAGCATTAGTGACGAGGATTTGGGATGATTTATTCTCTGTTTCATGAGGGATTTTTAATTGTCTGTGTGTTGTCTGGAAGGTAACACAGGGCCAGGGAGCCCTAGGGCAGAGATTAAGGATTGGAAGGGGTTTGGGACTGAAGAGGGGTGAGATGGAGGGGTTGCAGCATGCGGAAAGGAGGGGGGGGAGTTTAGGCATTCCCTTCATCCCCTCTCCCCCGTTTTAATTCCTGCCATGGGATATCAGTTACCATTTCTTTAACTACTCAGATTTTTCTGTGCCAGGGAGATGAAGGCCGGCTATGAAAGAACCGGCTCCCACGCAGAGACTGTGTGATGCTCTCACCTTACCCAGCTCCGTTCGCTGATGCAAGCGTGACAGATGGAAATAAAAGAAATAAGATCCATCAGTGTGAAGTGAGGCAGGTGTTAGGTGGGCCCCCCAGACACCCCATGGAGCCTGCAAGGGCCTCAGCCATCACTAAGCAGGTTGACATGGGCAGTGCTGTGGTGACGGGAGGAAGCGGAGGGCAGATAAAACCCTAAGAGATAGAGCCTAGAGGGCCCAATCCTCAGCTAGTACACAGTGAATGCAGGCCAGGCAGAGAGATGCTTCTCCCAGTGAAGTCAAGGGGAGTTTTGCTGTTGACTTGAATGAAAGCAGAGTTGGTCCATCATGGACACAGGGCATTGGCTTCTGCAGTCATTGGAGCTGGCCCATTGAGAGGAGGATGCCTCTGTGGACATGTCTACATTACAGCCGGGCGAGAGGCAATGCCCAGGGCGGGTAGCTCATCTGGTGCTAGTGTAACCCCCCGCCCCACACACACACATACCCGCCCCCTCCAGTATCTCCGCCGGCCCCCTCCCCGGGGTGGCCCTGACAAAGGCCGTAATGCTAATCTCATCACAAAGTAAGTTACAGCCCATCCATGGTGGGCCAATCCAGGCACAAAGAGAGATCATCAGAAAGCTGTATGCGCTCTGGGGTAAGATTCAATCACAGCGTAGAGCCAGTTCTAGGAAACGCTTAGAAACACTGAGCCAAATGTACTCCCTGGGTAACCCCACAGAAGGGTTAGCTGGGATGAATCTGGCTGGTTAGCAGGAAGCAAATCCAATCAACGGTGCCAGACTGACAAAAGCAGAAACACTAACAGCAAGCCGGGCTGATCCAGTTAGAAGCCTCTGAGAAACAGTGACTCAAGGGGGCTTGTTAAGCGTGGCGTTCGGTATAGCAGAATCACGCCCTGCTGGAATGCTGTAAGAAGAGCCATTTCTGTACCTCGTGCAAGTATACCTCAGTGCTGGCTCCCTCTTGGATGGGCAGGGTCTGAAGACATAGGAACAGCCATGCCTGGGACTGGGACTGACTTGCCGGGGAAGAAGGAGAGAGTGCAGGGGGAGAGTTTGCCCAGAGAAAAGTGCTCATTCATTATGGTGAGCAGGGAACATGGTACGTTGGGCTTTTAGGGGTTGGAGCCAGGCTTGGGAGGCAGGGTTTGTGGGCTCCATTCCTAGCCAGGCCACCAACTCAAAAACCTGGGCAAGTTTTTAACCTCCCCGGGCCACAGTTTGTCCCCTAGCAGAATGCGCAAAATGCACCTGGAGCGCCTTGGCTGAGAGGTACCTAGTGCGGTTGGCAACTCATAAAACAGCCCATTGACAGCTGCATTTGCTGAATGGAGCCTGTCCAGCCCCTCTCCACTAAGCTGACAGTCTCAGAGGGGTAGCTGTGTTCATCTGTAACTTTAAAAAGGAGTAGTCCTGTGGCACCGTAGGAGCTAACAAAAACATACACAGTAGCATGAGCTTTTGTGGACAAAACTTACCTCCTCAGATGAGCTGAAAGGAAACCCAGACATTTATAACAGAAAAAGGGGGGGGTGGGAAGATACCTGTCACTTGTAGGACTAGGGCTAATGAGGCTAATTAAGTGGGCTGGAAGTGTCCCAGTCTTAGCTTTTGATGTAAAAATGAGGTGTTAAATGCAGGGAAGGCTGGCTTTCAGTTAATTAAACAACAAATGGTCTGGTAGCAATTTATAGACTAACAAAACACATAGATTAGTGATAGAGATGCAGCTGTGTGAGTATGATCTAGCTGAAACAAAAGACAGAACT